TATCATTACGAGAACCAGGTGTTCCAATAGATACATTTGTAAATATTTTTGTTGCAGTACAAATTCCTATCAAATAAAAAACTTATATTATGAGAAAGTTATGCTATTAATGGCAAAAATGTGCTATCTTGTTTGAGCATAAAATCTCACCTTGAAGTGTAATAGAGTAGTTGCATGTGCGATCTATGTAGCTAGAATGCTGGTTTGCTGGAGGTATGACTTGAATGTGGCAACCATCGATGGCTCCAATGACACCTGAAAAGATGGCAAAGAACAATAAGACATGACAAAGTTCCTGCATGAGGGGCATTATCTTTAAAAAAAATTTCAAGTGATATAGCCAAGCCATACAGAGTACTCACCAGGAAATCCTGCACGTGCTTCAAATTGCCTGCTCAGTACCACACACTCACTCTCTTTGGGCCAAACAATAAATGTATCTCTAAGATCACACAGTATGTGAATGATAGTTCTGGCTTCCTTAACAACTGTGCTTTGAGCCACAGCAAATCGGTCACCTATATCAGACAAAGGCACATGCTTCCCCAGATAACATAATGTCATCAGGACAGCTTTCTCAACCGTCACCAAAGGTGCATCACCTCTCTGGCACTTGACAGGATAATAAGGTCGGACCGTGTTGACAAGGGCCCAATATGTGTTCTTCATCATCCTGTACATACAACCAAAATAGGGAATCCACTTAACCTAACAAGAGTCAATAAATGCTCCTCCCCCAAAAAACATCGATGCATGATAAATAAAAAATGTAGCAGTAACGAAGCTGATTTGTGCTTTCTTACCTAAACTGTTTATGAAAATCTTGATCAATGTAACGGGTCACCCATTCTTCGTTAGCAATTATTCCTATTTTGAAGTGAGTTATTCTATCTTTTAGAAAGGAAAGGGTAACCCTGCTTGTGGGTTGTAACTGATACATATTAACAATATGTGATATATCGTCATCAATCACTTCCATCATACAAAATAACATTACAGATAACCTCTCCATTTGGATCCGTCATGACACATGTAGCAACAAAACTGCTACCGCGCTAACGCCTTTGCGCACTGTCTGCCCGAAACGTTTTTATTCTTGGTTACTATTTGTGACGTCATGTCTTCAAACGCGAACCAACCGCTTGTAGTCTGGTAGCAGCAACGAAAACGCACCTACAATTAGGTGGTTCC